TTGAATCAACATGACTTCGTCAAGGATAGATCATGCCTGACAAATCTGTTAGAATCTTTGAGGAGGTAATGAGTGAGGTAGACAAAGGAAAGCCAGTGGACATCAGCTATTTGGATTTTCATAAGGCATTTGAGAAGGTATAATTGCAGGAGGCTGCTAAATAACATGGTGTTAAGAGCCCATGGTGTTAAGAGCAAGATACTGGCATGGGTAGAAGATTGGCTGACTGGTAGAAGGCAGAGTGGGGATTAAAGCGATATTTTTCAGGATGGTAGCTGGTGACTAGTAGAGTTCAGACTAGGGGTCAGTGTTGGGACCATAACAATTAATGTTATAATATTAACAATATGGAAGAAGGAACTGAGATCATTGTACAAAGACATGGCAGGTGCAGTACAATGTGGGGAAACTGTGAAGTTTAGCACTTTGGTAGGAAGAATAGAGGTGTAGACTATTTTCTAAATGGGGAATGGTTTTGGAAATCTGAAGCACAAGAGACTTAGGAGTCCTCGTTCAAGATTTTGTTCGGGTTAACATGCAAGTTCACTTGGCAGTTGGGAAGGCAGGTGCAATGTTAGCATGAATTTCTAAAGGACCAGACAGAGGAGCAGAGATATACTGCTGAAGCTGCATAAGGCTCTTGTCAGACTGCACTGGGAATATAATAGCTCTTGAATCTGCTTTCTCAGAGGATAGAGAAATGTTAGTGAAATAAATGACAACAGATGTAGCAGTCCTGAGGTAAGAGGAAACAGAATAATGAATATGTGGAATATCACATGGTTAAGTAAGATGACTGTTGTTCATATCAGTGGTGATTGGCCACCGGGAATTAAGAGTCTAATGATGACTGTGAATCCATTGTTGATTGTCAGGAAAAACTCGTCTGGTTTTAGGGAAGGAAACTGCCATCCTTAGCTGGTCAGGCCTACATGTGACTCCAGACCCACAGCAAAAGCTACAAGAAATCCTTTCATTGCTGTACTGTCTAGTTATTGACATGAGCAGCGTAACATGCATTCAACTGTAAATAGCTGCCTGAGTTTATCACTGTAGTTTGCTTGACAACAGATAAACTTCTCCACACTTCATCTCAATAAAGCTAATAGTTGACTGACAACCCAGCTCTGTATCTAAAGGAGGCTGAGTTGCATTGGAGGGGTACGGAGGAAGTTTACAAAAATGATCCTGGGGATGAAGGGCTTGTCATATGAGGAGATTTGAGGACTCTACGTGGCAAAATTTAGAAGGATGAGTGGAAATGTCATTGAAACTTAAAGGATACTGAGAGGCCTGGATAGAGTGGATGTGGAGATGATGTTTCCACAAGTAGGAGAGACTTGCACCCAAGGGTACAGCCTCAGAGTGAAGGGCCGACTCTTTAGAACTGAAGTGAGGAGGAATTTCTTCAACCAGTGGATGGTTAGTTTGTGGAACTGTTTGCCGCAGTAGACCATGGAGGCTAAGTTATTGAGTCTTGATTAGTAAGGGACCAAGGGTTGTGGAGAGAATATAGGAGAATAGGGTTGACAAACATATCAGCCATGACTGAATGGTGGAGCAAACCCAATGGCCTGAATGGCCTGATTATGTTCCAGGGGAGGTGATGGCCTAGTGGTATTATCACTGGAATGCTAATCCAGAGACCCAGATAATGTTCTGGAGACCTGGGTTTGAATCCTGCCACAGCAGATGGTGGAAATTGAGTTCAATAAATATCTGGAATTAAGAGTCTAATGATGACTGTGAATCCATTGTTGATTGTCAGGAAAAACTCATCTGGTTTTAGGGAAGGAAACTGCCATCCTTAGCTGGTCAGACCTACATGTGACTCCAGACCCTCAGCATTGTGGTTGACTCTTAACTGCCCTCTGTGTAATTAGGGATGGGCAATAAATGCTGCCCAGCCAGCGATGCCTTCATCCCATCAATGAATAAAAAGGAAACGTTGTATGCTTTTATGATCTGAATACTGAGCAAAACCCCCACAATTTGAATTGAAAAGCCTAAAATAGGGGAATGCGTAAAAGGTTACACATCATGGGAAAGTACTAAATTAGTGGTTACTATTTTCAGATGGGAATGTTCAGAATGAAAACTTCCCCACGCCAGCACTAAACCCCCTCCCTGAGGACTGAACTATCCTTCAACCACTCATCCAACAAATAGCTCCCAGCCTGGATTCAGCATTGTCTAATTTTATGTGATCTACACCCCTTTTCAGGCAGGAGCAGACTCGGCAGCAGAGCTGGGTTGCCAGTCAACTATTAGCTTTATTGAGACGAAGTGTGGAGAAGTTTATCTGTTGTCAAGCAAACTACAGTGATAAACTCAGGCAGCTATTTACAATTGAATGCATGTTACGCTGCTCATGTCAATCACTAGACAGTAGAGCAATGAAAGGATTTCTCGTAGCTTTTGCAGCCTCGGTCTTCAAGCTTTTTCTCTCTCTTGGTTCTTCATCTTCTAATTCTAGTTGCTCTCCATTGCACAAATATTTTTTGAGGATCTCTTTTATCCTTGTTCTTCTCTCGTTAACCCCTCCCGGTGGCCAATCACCACTGATCTGAACAACAGTCATCTTACTTAATATGTGATATTCCACATATTCATTATTCTGTTTCCTCTTACCTCAGGACTGCTACATCTGTTGTCATTTATTTCACTAACATTTCTCTATCCTCTGAGAAAGCAGATTCAAGAGCTATCTTTAGCTTTTAGCTGCAGGAAGCCAATTCAAATCCAACTTAAAATCCCAGAATCTCTAACTTGGCATCTTTCTAATCTATTTTCTAACGTTTGTTTATCTACTGTACTGCAAATGCAAGATTCCAATGACAATCTATGTTAGCTTCTAATAATCAAATTAAATGATGAAACCTATCTTGTTAATCTCATAAAATTGCAGCATGAAACCAGCGAAAGGGTGAGCTGGCCCTGGGGATGTGAGAATGGACAAGGGTTGAAAGTAGTTCCAATCCTTACATTTCATATGTCCATTTAAAAGGGAAACAATATTTTGTCAGTCCCTTGCGCCCACAAGGCGCATACACATTTGATCAATTACAGTTTGTACTCCACAGGCTTCCTATTGCTTCTACCTGGTACATCCTGTAGGTTTCAGCAACGGTGGAGACAGGCTTCTCAAATCCCTGTTCTCGCCGCTCAGATGATTTTGATCTTTCACCCAGAATTTCAAAGCCCAGTGGATCCCGGTAAAGACTGTTCCACTATTTCCTGTGCAGGGCCAGAAACCGCTACTGTGGGACAAGGTGTTGTGGTGGTATTAGAGGTGCTTTGTCTGGTACTCCCTCGGTTTGGGGATGAAAATAGTGAGGTGGGGAGGGGGGAAGTTTTGTATGGAGTTACCACTTCTCTCTCTCCACTCTTGGAGCAGTATCTCATCATTGCCCTGACTCTAACTCAGACCTGTTTGGTGGAGATCAGTGATAGTAGGAACTGCAGATGCTGGAGAATCCGAGACAACAAGGTGCAGGGCTGGATGAACACAGCAGGCCAAGCAGCATCATAGGAGCAGAGAGGCTGACGTTTCGGGCCTAGACCCTTCACCTTGTGGTGGAGATCAGTGACGTTTTGTAAGCCCACGGATACAAAATCTGTCACAACAACAAAGCTGCTGGAAAAGCTCAGCAGGTCTGGCAGCATCTGTGGAGGAGAAAACAGAGTTAACGACCCTTCCTGTCTTCCTGTTTCCTCCCTTCCTGTTTTCTCCTCCACAGATGCTGCCAGACCTGCTGAGCTTTTCCAG